AAAGTGCTTATCTTACAGTCAGAACATGCACTTTAATGTTTTTACCCTAATACTTGAAAGCTAACTGTTCCAAACTCTTGCTGTGAGCTGTCCTGCCTTTTCATATATTTTAATTCTGAACAGTTTATTTGCCCTCTATGAAAACATCTCTGAAAGTTATTTCTTTGTGTAGTTTTTGTAATGAGTGTAATTTCCTGGGATCTTTTCAATACCACATCACAGGGTATTGCATATTTTGTCAATGAGATATTGCTCTAACTCAACACTTTTTGGAATCTTATTCCCAGAGGCTAGTGTGAGGAATGTGCATGGAGAAGCAAATATAGAAGACATATAAGCATAGATAAATAGCTTTATTTTTTTCCCCGATATCTGATTGTGTCTGATAGCCTTGGAGATTTTTGCTTTGTCTGTAAAATCATTTGCAACATGATGTGTCTTAAGTATTTTGATTTCTAATACACTGTGGTATCAAAGTTCTGTATGTGTGGCATCCTTTCGTATGGTCATTTTTTACTGTCTCTTGCTAGCATTTCTTTAAGACTGGGGAACCTGACAGAACCTGGCAGGAACTTTATTATTTCAGTTCTCCAATTCTCCACAGAATCTCCACAGCTTTACAGATTAGGAACTCCTTATGGACCCCTCAAAGTTTGTGCATTCATTGTTGGTCCTTTAGGTAAATGGTGGGAAATTATCTGCTTTTCCATTCTTAGCCATTGCAGAGCATTTTGGAGACACTCAGGAACACTGCAACTTCATCCCAAAAAGGTTGATGGTCTGGTAAACTCAGAAATCTATTTCAGATACTGGTATACTTATCAGCTGCATAAGAGAAATATGTGAAAAAATCCTAATAGAAAGTATCTTCTAAATATCTGAAACATAAACTTTGGATATGTCCTGAAATATAAGCACTTATCTTGCTGTCAAAAAATCACATTTCTCATTACAACAGTCGATATTCTTATTATCCATGTAAATGTCTGGTACTTTATGGATCCCAGTGATCTTTTGATGTTAACATAATCTGAAAGCCATAGCTAGAATTTGGTTTGCTCTATGTCTATTGAGCAGATATTGAACAGAGTCAGTTCAGTTGTTAGAATTCATTTCTAAAAGGAGTTTCCTGACTCAGTCTTCCTTGCTATATTTCTAAGTAGAAATTTCTAGTGAAAATAATTCTCACTTTGATTCTCATATCAAGACATTCTCCGATTCCTTCAATCATCAATGTTTATTTCTCCCTAAAGCTTTATTCCTTCTCATTGAGCAGAAAGACTTCAAGGATAGTATTATTTGTGCTATTTGCAACACTGTTTTGAAAACTTTGAGGTACGTGTTTATTTTTCTAACTGAAATTGGCTTTGAAACTGGCAGAAGTCCATCTATTTATATTTTAGTGCCACCTTTCTCTTGCAGGGGCTGGGATTTGGGGGTTTGCTGTTATTGTTCCTTTTGCTTTTGTTATCAGCACTACTATATGCTGTAGAGAAACCTTAATTGAATCACCCACAATTATTTTTACAACCACCTATTTTCTTTGTGAATACATCATTATTTGTGAGAAAGAGTTGTCCTTTTTCTTCCCCACATTCAACATACAGTTCTCAAACCACAACATCACAGAACTGACAATTTTCAATCCACTTCACCATTCATCTATCTAGCCCATACTTCAATATGTCTTGTTCTTGCACGAGTTTCTTTCAATCTTCCTTAATCCTTAGTAGCCAGGGAGGTTATCTGGGAGTCTGAATCACTTCCTATCATTGTGTGCTATCATTACAAAGCATTCTAATTCACAGATCCTACACCAGTTCTTAAAATAGCTCAGCCGTAACTTTTTCGACTCCCAAAGAAGCAACCACTCACTATGACCATATTTCTTTCCTCTAAATCAGTCTCATCTGCTAGAAAACTTTGTGCACTTGCTCTGTACTTTCTTATTTCCATTATTCTTGTCAAAGACTTTGGCAAAAGCCTTTAATAGAACTAAGCAAATTGTATCTCCTTCCTCTTTCAAATACTCTTTTATAAACTTTTTTAAAGCATTCAAACAAGCTAATGAAATGTGAATAATTCTATGTAAAACCATATTTTAAAATCCTATTACCATCAAATTGTAGTCCTTTCCCCTTATCCAAACACATTTTTGTATATCCTTCAGTATAAAATATAGTATTATTTTATCATCCCTCGTGTTCCGTAATACCACAAGGAGTTTTCAGGAAGTACTGGTGCTGAAACAATCACAGCAACATCTTCAGTGATGTGCCCTGGACACCAAAATCCCACTCTTCCTCACTGTATGCTGCTGTTAAAGAACAGTGTATGTTAAAGAAAAAAAAGTGTTGCCCTATCTATTCTTGCTGCAGTTAACTCTATTGTGCTCTACAAAGTATCTGTGTAAAAAAATAAAAAACCCACATTACTCCCACAGAAGACAGTGGTAGAAATTCCATTGATTTCAGAGGGCACATTTGATCAATGCAGAGTGCATATCACATACCAAGACCAAAAGTGAAAGTAAATGTCTTATGAAAACTTCAGAAACAATGAGGCTGAATCATAAGGATGTCATGCATTTGAGGGCAGAAATATGAACTTGATTCTAAATTTATTTTGCATAAAATAAACACAGCTACAGATAGTTGCCAACAGGATGATCAGTAGAAACTGAATTCCGTCAGTGAAGCGTAGCATAAAGTCAAGACTGGAAAACACTTCAAGAAACTAACCATAACGTTGCTTCAGCAGAGCACCTTTTATTGATGGAACAGTACAAACTTCCTGGACCTTGCAGATACTGCTATGTTCTTGGCTACGCAAATGGTGTCAGAAGATACAAATGCCATCTGCCATGTCAGATGAACTTGAAGACTTCTGCTTTCACTGTGAAATAATATTTTGGCCACAGCCTTCCACCTATTTTTCAGCTTTAGTCTTAGTTCTGCAATTCCTTGTGCATGAACTTGAAAGTGATTGCCGTAAAAGGCTGTAGATATGGGATAGATAGCACTTAACGTAAGAGTTTTGGCCTTGGTGCTGCATACACAACATACGCTCCTTCTCCCATTCTAGATCCAATTACTGGTTTCACAATGGATTTGGAAGAGTACAGCAGTGTTGTAATGTTCAAATTACTGTACGTAAGAAAATGGCCAAAGAAGTGGACACAAGGAAAGGCTGCTTGTCTCTTAGGCTGCCTGTCAGCCTGCCTGCCATCCGTCTCGTCCTCCCTGCTGTGTCTTCCTTTTTTCACAACCAAACTGTTTTTCAAACTGACATTATAGATTTACTTATCTTTCCAACTCCAACTTTAACAGTAAGAAAGGCAATGGAAGGGAGGAAAGAAAAAAAAAAAAAAAAAAAGAATCTCTGTTTTCCTGCAACCAGTTGCTCCTGGAATTGAAAATTCTAGGCAGGTTGTCTTACAAAAAGTGGCATTTCATCCTATTCTCTTTTAGTTAAAAATATAATCATTCTCCATTCTCCATACCATTCTCTCAGCATGGTATGAGTACTACCACTCATTTGACTATGTGAAATAAATAATGTGTACAAAGTGACATTGAAGTTTTATGCTATTGAGATTTATTTCTGCAAAAAATTACGTTTGGATTGCTTCCAAAAAGACTAGTGACTACTCCTTTTTTCAGTACATCCCAATGTGGCTTTTAAATCTTAATTCAAATTAACAGTTACTATGCACCTGCTTATGATTAAGCTTAAATTATATTGTATTTCATGCTGCACTGAAGTAACACATTACATATGAAGACACTGTCAAGTGCACTGGAGTGTCAGTGGTTACCTTTTTTGAAGGGCTAACCGTAAAACTCATACCACAGATATTGCTATTTACAAGTTCAGAATGTCAACTCAGTTGCAAATGCAGGTACAATAATAAGAAACAATTTGTTGTCCTTATAAAATATGTACATGCTGTTAATTCTGTAGTGTGTTCTAGTGATGCAGCGGCAGAAAAGATTCCATTTTAATTCGGAGATGAAACAGATTAAAGCAGAGGGGGCTCAATAATGTCAGTGGCACCTCTTACAGGTAAAACCTGTATTGTGGCAATGAAGGAATACACCAAAAGAAAGAAAAAAAAGAAAAAAGAAAGGAATGTACCTAAAAGTAGTTGACTGTTTTGATCAAAATCTCTGCCACTGAAAGATGATGTCATGAAGAGTACTTAGCAGGACTGGATCTATTGATCCAGGCTGGGATTTTTTTTTTGTTTGGTTTCTTCAGTTTCTTAGCTTTAAAACTTTGACTGTGCCAAAACAGAGACCCTGTGATAAAAAGGTTTACTGAAATGTTCTTTAAACTGTCCTTATCTCATGTAAAAATATTCATCTGGGTCTACTCAGTCAGACATTTCTTGACTTTCACAAGGTTTGTGTGAGGCAACGGAAATTCATCAGACTTCGAGGTCTTTCAAATGTACAGGCAAGTATTTATTGTACTTTTACTTGGCAGTTTGCCTGTTAAAAGGCCAGAGGTATACCCTGATAATCAGCAACTACTAAGCACCTGTCAGATATATACTAATATTAGCATATTTAACATCTAATTTGTTAAAATCGGTTAATAGCTGGTACAAGAAGGAATGATGAATTTCTCAGTACTATTTAGTGTTATCTACTAAGATATATGAAATGTGAAACACAAACAGAACAAGCTGTTGATTTTAGGATACTGAATGCTTGGAATGTTCCTAGGTAAGCTGGCAGCCTTCTATCACACGCAGAAAGACATGGTAAATTTACATAGGTGGAATCACATAGGCATGTGGGCTTTTGTTTGTTTGTTCTGCAGGATTAGGGAATTTACGCATGCAGAGAAAATTCTCCTTTATTCAAACTGGCTAAAACCCCCATGGTGTTAAATAGAACATAACATCTCAAGATAGTGTCTCTTGAAATTGGAAAGTTATTCTTTTCCCTTCTAATATTTTCTTTTTAATATTATGTGCCAAATCTATTATTTACCGATCTCAGAAGCAGCCACTGTGATGTTGTACCAAGGTGTCTCTTCTCTGTCAAAGATCTTGCCAGTCTTAATGGTCCCAGTACTAGCATCAATGGTGAAATATTTATCTTCTTCTGTGTTATGATCTATGAAATATCTATGAAGAAATAAAACAATAAATATATAGTCATTGTAGTATGTATCATCCAAAGTATCAGAAAACCACATGAGAATATTACTTTCAAGCTTTTAAAATCATAGAAATTTTTAAAAACATCCCAAGAAAAATCCTATATTATGGAGACATCCAAAGTAACAACTTATTTCATTTTTTTTTTATAGTGTTACATGTCTTTTGATATATAACAAGGTTTCCCCTGTGAGCCACAAAGATATAAATCGTTAACAGGTGATATTTTACACAGCAGTATACAATCCTGTCAAAAGTAAGATACATAGATTTTAACTAAAAAATATAAAATGGAAAGGCAAAAAAGAAAACAGAAAGATATTAAGATATTATTCTTCTGCTTATTTGCTTGTCAGTGCAAACCAGTGTGCTCAGCCCTGGTATGTCTTTTGAAGCATGTCTCTCTGACATTAAGTTGATGACAGGATGACATAAGCCGTTTTGAACATAACCATTACAGAGACTGGTAGCAGAAACAGTGGATTCCCAGAGCTGCAACTGACACTAGCCTAGCAGCAGAACTAAGCAGTCCTGCTTAACTCCCTCAGCTTCTGGGCACTCTGCCTAGCAGAGAAAGTAAAAACCTTGAAGTGGGTAATGGACACAGAGGGAGGGAACACAAAGGAAGAGGTTGACAAGACATTTTTTCTCAAAGCTAGAACCATTTATAGCACCTTTTAACAAATGAAACAATTACAGACCCCTCTCAAGCATTCTTCACGAACTTCAGAGTTGATGAAAAAAATAAGGAAAAAGCTTCTAAGTCTTTTAAGTACCATAATTGTTTTTCCTGATAATTTGTCAGCCCTGCTTTCATTCTGTGAAGTTTTTAATATATGGAAGCTCTATATAAGTCAAAGTGATTTATTTGTCCCATCCAATTGCTCTTATTTCTACATCACCAAAAATGTAATTGCCAGCTAATAAAGAGAGTGGTGCACATGAAAGCTGCTGAGCTCAAAAAATTAAAAATAACTTCAGTTTTATTTCTCTCACAATATACTTACTTAGACCATTTGTGGAAAGGAAAAAGAAACAAGCAAACAAATATTTTATTGAATGATATATTAAAGTAAGATATGACATGTGAAAAAGCAAAGGAAATAAAGCACTAGAGGAGAAGGCAATACCTTAAGTGAGTCACCTTACCTGGTCAAAGGATAGGACACTCAGTGGGAAAGCCAGCTAGGACTTGATGACATAGGTTAGATGGTCCTTGTTGGAGAGAACCTGAACCCATCTCTCCCACCTCCAAGAAGTATTTTACATCTGCCTTAAAATATGCTCTTTGGCTTGTGGCACTCAAGATTTTCTTTTCATGTTTCCAGTATTTTCAGTAATTAAAGAACTGTAGGTCAGGCACTGGAAATCAAAGCAGCCAAAACTAGGCTAGAAAATCTTTCCTTCTTGCAGGCTCCTCCTCTTTCCTTTTGATATCATGAAGTGTGAAACAGCTCCCATATGACTGTGGAAGCTGTCACAGACACAGCAGACCTCAGTTCTACCCAATTTATTATTCTCTGGAATAAGAATTTAACTCGTTGGGTCTCACCTGAGCTAGTCAGAACCTATGTGCGCTTCCTTAACTACCAACACCTGAGAACAGCTTCACTGACACCTATTCATATGGAATATGTACTGCAAATCCAAAGCAATTTATAATACAAGAGTCTTGTCCCTGCAAACATTTATTACTGTGGACATTGTTTACTTATTATCAACATCAGGCACAGTAACTAATCTGTGAGTCAGTATTGTGCTGACCACAGAACCATAAAAAACAGGGCTATTTAATATTTGTAGACAGTAATTTCAAAATAGACAGGATTTTAAAATGGGCTTAAAGGAGGAAAAAATACTTAAAGCAGTAAGCATACTAAGCTGCTTTTGTGTGTGTGTGACATTACAAATCATTGCCTCTCCCTCTGAGTAAAAATCCAAAACCAACAAATATCTGTCCCAAATATGAAGTTTGTGTAGCAAAAATGAAGTTTGATTCTGTTATGAACTGTAACTACCTAACACTTCAATGTCATAGACATGTAGTAAAAGACGGTCTTATTTTTTTAATTATGAACATCTTTTTCTAAATCACTTGTTTAAATGCATTCTATAGAAGCTCCAGGCTCTCAGTTTAAAGAACTCAGTATTGGATGAACAATTTTAATTGTATTTTCTATGTCATTAATAGAAATAAAGTTATCCTGAGGTAACTTATTGTACTAATAATTTTTCTTCCAGTGGTACTAGAATAATGAAAAATGTTTCTAATTTAGCCACATTAGCACTAACTTCTGCATATAGTTACAGACATATTGAAACATTCACAGCTTGACAGCATTTTTCTTGATCATTTATAAATAAAAGAGTGGCCCTTTCTTATGCATTCTCTTTATTATAATTTTCAGTTCTCCATTGCTCTAGATTCTTCCTTAAAATTGCTTTGTGTATCATATCTAAAGCAGCCATTTACACTGCTGTGGTTCCTAACCTTCACGAATGTGTCAGTAAAACAAGTTACAGAAGATATTCCCACACAGTAGAACTAGGAATGCTACTCTAAAGCAGTGCTCCCAAGCACTGTAAAAAAAGTTTGTACAAGAAAATCCGTTGGTAGAGCCAATCATTTTTTTCACACATAAAAGGACATTTAGAACAAGTTTCATTGTATTTACACAGTGCTTAACATTTTAGGCCTTTTTAAATATTAGCCATATTTGAATTTCAAAGAGTTACTTCAAAAGTGAATTTTTATCTTAATTTGACTGTTTCTTCTTACTTAAAATGCATTAATTTAAAATGATAATAAATTAAAAATATTCATTGCTCTGTGAATTAGCATACTTCTCACTACTAAATCTGCACATCTGAGTTGCATGGCACACATTAATAAAGAGACTTAATAACAAGACATGCCTAAATAAACAGCTCTCCATAAACTGTTTATGTCCAAAACAGTAACAAAGACCAATCTTAAGGAAACTACATTAAAAAGGATCATGAGTATAGAAAATCTATTAGTCACACTATCTGATGAAAATCTGAAGGAAATCAAATACCAAAACTCAATCCTGGTAGCACTGGGAAGTGTAACATGTGCCATGTCTTTATTAGGTGGAGTCACTCCAGAACATTGGGCTTTCCCAACTTCCATCCATGTCCTTATTTCTGTTTGTGACCAAAGCAAGCCCTTGGCTCCTGTGACTTCATTCCTCACTTCCTGTCTTTTAGTGAAGCAGTGGTTCAGTGGCAATAGATATTCCCACCATTTTTATTGAATACGAAAAGCTTTTGCAGGAATTAGGAAGTAAAGAGGAATATATATGCAGACGGGCCTTAGGCAGAACAGCTTTCTAGACATGTAAATCAGTTTGCAGTATTTCAATAGCCAGGCTCCAATAACACAAGGATGCTTAAAAATGGAGAAAGTTTTAAAAGGTGCTGAAGGAGTTTAGGAACATTAATGATTTCCAAACCTTTTAGGAGGGCTTCTGAAGCTAAAACCCATAAGAATCTCTCTCCCTAAATTATTCAGTCTTAAGATAGTAATAACATCAGTTTGCCACTTGACAGACAAGTGGCACAGTCTGTTACTATTCCAGTATGTCTCCCTCCAGTCATTGTGTTTTATGGAAGAGCCTTGAGTTTGAGTTCTTATGTAGTTTTGAGGTTTTTTACTTGTCTTTCTTTTTTCTTCAATCAAGTCTTCAGTTTATCCTTTCCTCATGCTATTTTTATTCATTACCCTATCTACCAGCTGCAAATGAGAACTCTGTTACAAACAAATATCCACCCTGGCTACAAACCTGCTATTCCCAATGAACTTCCAAAGGCACATTTCAGCCAGATGTGGATTCACAGTATTTCTCTGGACTTTTGTATTGAGATGTAGGTAAATAGCCAGTTCTCTAACAACAAGTGAAACTGGGCACAAAGAAGCATTTCAAAAAGATTATGGGAGAAGAGAGATCCTCTGCCAAACCGATTACTGACACCTGCTAAAGACTTATGAATTAGAAATCTAATACAATTATAAGGAAATCTGTTTAGTTAAAAATTTAAACAAGGATATTTTCTCAGAAAGAGATGCTCAGACTCAAAGTATAGAGATATGTTTTTTCTTTTAAAGAATACCTTAGAAAAAAAATGCATAAGCAACGACTGCACAGTGTGAGGGAGGGAGGTATACCAGGGGAAACAGTGAGAACTGATCAGCTGCAACTCAGTGTTTGGCCAGCTGGAGAGCAAGAAGAAATGGCCCATGGTAGGACATAACTCCAGTGCATGCCTTTCATCTCCTCTCTGTCTCCTGATAGCAGCAATCCTGGTGAGCCTGGGACCCAGCAGCATCCCCCAGAAACCAAGTGAGGCACTGGGGAGACATTCTGTTGCCATTACTGTCTTGCACTACACTGCCTCCCTTCGAGGGCCAATCTATTTCCCCATAGCAGTTCAAACAAACTTCAAGAGAGAAAAGCAATTGTGAAATGTAAGTCAGAAGTCAGCTGCCAAAACAGCAGGGAACCAGTTTTCTCCCTGCAGCATGTCTGGTAGATTAAGGAGATATTAGATGTTCCAGAGCTCCTCAGCAGAAGACTGCTACTGAGAACTACAGCCTTCAACTGTGCTTTCCAGTTGTGAAAATGAAATACATCTGAAAAGAGCTCAGAAAAGGTTTACCATTCCTTTGCTTTTTTTTTATGATGACAAGCATAGCATAATTTCGAGAAAAATACTGTTCCTCTCAGAGCACTTGCAGGAACCCACAGAGTTAGCTCTGGTGCTGGCTGCCAGCCGACATCCATCAGCTGATCAGCAGTGCCTTGTTGTCTCCCATACAGGACTCCTGGATCACCACTCATACCAAAATCTCAGCTCAGCAGAAATGGCAGCCTTCCCTCTCCCTGTCCTGGAGATGTGAGATGGCAGATCCCGGGAGGCGCGGTGGAGTTGCAAGCAGTGAACCA